ACACAACGTGGTGCGATCATCCCCCTTGCGCGGAGTGAGGGTTCTCCACCCCGCACAACATGATCTACTCGACCACCATTATGTTTACCGCCAATAACAGAAACAGAGGTAAAAAAAAAACGGTAACCTGGTTGCCGAGTTCACGAAGTGAATTGGCTTGTTTTACAACGTCGTTGCCAAGCGACGAAAACCCAACCCCGATGGCAAACACCGGGGGGGGCGGTGGGGCATGGAAATTGCGTTCAAGAGAGAAATATGTTTTCTGCGGGAAAGCGCGAGAAATATGTTTTTCTGAGCGAGTAGAGACAACTTACAAATGCTTAATGCCTAACTTTTGTAAAAAGCTTAAGAAGTTGCAGTGATCTGTTTCATGCCGGGAAGTGGCACGACAGGATCATTGAAAGGTGTGTCAGCACCGGTGCACGTTTAAACTGTTTTGTACGTGGAGCGAGGACGTAAGCATCGAACGGGAGCATTCGTCGTCGAACGAACGGCTTTCAAGCGTCGGGCTGTGATATCGCACGATCTCACCAATGGTACTTCGGTCGTTGTGTTGAACATTAAGCCACATGTTCTACAGGTTCAAACCTTGGACGACCACGGAACCACAAATTGTCTTCCAGGTATTGGTTTCAGTTTCGTCACGCAAGGAGTAGCCTCGAAGAGGGGCCAATTCAGCATCCAGCCGCGACCGCGGTTGAGTTATTTATGTACGACGTGGAGGTCGTACCGTAGTGCGATGGGTGGGGGATGTATTCAGCAGGTGCGCAGCGACGAGTTGAGGGCAGCGACCGCCGCAACAACAGCAACAACTTTGACAGCAAGGGGGCAACGTGTCTGAGCCGCGTACTCGACCGGGTGCTTCCCCCTGTTTTGTTGCGTTGTATGTTGATCCCTAGGATGTCGGACATCGTACGGCAGCACAGGGAAGGGCCATCGGGAGACAAGGACTTCAGGCTGGTGCAGTGCTCTACGGGCCAAATACAGGTAAGAAAGAAAGAGAGAGAGAGAGAGAGAGAGAGAGAGAGAGAGAGAGGAGAGAGAGGTACCATAGAGAGTTGTGAATTCTTCAGTTAAAAGAAAAACATTGCGTACTTCGTACTTAGCTTCCGGGTCCGACTGATTGCGGCGCGGCGGTCGTGCTTTGAGTCCTCGTCCACACACGCGTAGCATTTCTCGAGAGCGGGTGGAAGGCAGGCGTGGTAGTCGCAAGTCGGATGCGTGCACGGTGACGGATGGCGTACGACGCCGGTACTTGGTTCCGCCCCCCACTCCCCCACTCACCTGCTGGTCTCTGGGAATGCTACGTGTGTGTGGACGAGCAAGAAGAGCACGCCCGTCGCGCCGAAATCTGGTAAACTCGTTGTTGTTGTTCATATGATTTGGCACATGTGCGGGTGACAAAAGGCGGTGCTGAGACAACAGAGACCGGTACACTTATGTCTGACGACAAACGAAAACACGAAAAATATTGTTCCGTTTTCAGGACCTTTTCCACGAGTGGGTGATCGAGAAGAACTACGAGTTCGAGTGCATGCAGATCGTGGGGGATACGGCGTACATCGTGCTCGGCCGTCGAGTGAGTCGGGGAGAGCTCGCGCTGGTGGAGCGCTTAATGAAGACGTGATGATGGTGGACGGGCGGGGGGGCTCTCAACCAAAGCCTTGAAGGGGGGGCGGGGGCGGGTGAGGGTAGACCGGGCCTACGGAGATGTGTGCATGGCTCGGCCGTGACACGGCACTGGTCGGCTAGAAGTAAAGTTTTGCCCAAGTCCCTGGGTAAGCGACGTTTTTTTTCACCCTCCGCGTTTTCAGCGGACGCACAGCGAAGAGTGTATTGCCGCGATGTAGATACAAAAGTACTTGCGCATCCAGCTAGAAAATGACGTCGAGGCGTGCGTAAGCCTGGTACTGCTTGTTTTCATCCTGCTTTTGTGCCAAGAATGGGGGTGGGGGTGGGGGGGCAGGAAACAGTAATATCGGGTCCTACTATAGAGGGGTCGGACGCCACGGAAAATATGTTTTTTTTTTATGTTGTTGATTGAACCATGTCATCGTCTGCCCTCCCCCTGACCTGGCGGGCAAGGGGCGACGGAAAGGTTTTCGGGCGGGGGCGTAACAACATTATACATGTACGCGAGTAAAAGGAGATGCAATTTTCGGCGCGGCGGCAGAAACCGCACAAGCACCCGCTCGATTTGATTGGCTTGCTCTCTCTCTGTTTTGTTTTTGAGCCTTCGCTGTTACCGACGGGAAGGAAGGAAGGAAAAACATGGGTCAACGTTTACCAAATGCTTACATTTTTTTTACACGCCGCATTGACTCGGGCACAGCAGTGTTGGCGTCAAGAAAATATCATTGGGCTGCGGGCGGTGGGTGGGCGCGTAGATTATACACGTTGTGTGAATCTCGCTTCGCATGCTGTGTTGTTTTTTTGTCGCGGGGTGTCAAGAGTACCATGGTAGTGTAGCAGTAGTAGGAGAATGTCTATATTCTGTCGGAGTTATCGTGTACCATAGTGGGGTGGATAGGTGAAGCTTGTGTTGTGGGTGACGTTCTGTGTGACTGTATTGTGTGTTGCACGTTTCAAGTCACAAGCCATTCTTTTGGTCTTTCTCATAATTTCTCGCTTCTTGTTGGTTGTGTCCGTCATGACGCACACGCATTACAATTGTAGTCACCCTGCGGTGACCTCTGCTCCTTCGCGATGGGAGCAATTCCCAAGCTCAAAGCATACTCACGCTTATATCGTTGCGCCACGCAGAAGCTGCTGTTGCTCGAGTTGCATTGACGCCAGCCTGGCCCCAAGTGAATACTCTGCAGCATCACACATGTGTAGAGTTACTGCTGTGGGTCCGTCGTGTCCCAAGGCGGCGGGGTGCCCTCGGCTGCGGGGCGTTCGTGGCGTTCGCGGGCCGACGGGCGGGGGGGGGGGGGGGGGGG